AGTCTGCAGAATCCGCTAACTGATTACACTGTAAGTGATAATCCACCTTAACCCCGGCTGTGGTTAAGCATCAACGACTGCCCGACAACTGATACCCTGAGGTGGGCACCAACCACTGCCCTCAAGGTACCTGTGACGAAAATCGGTTCACACCCCATCACAAGGCATTTGTGCCTCTGTATGTGAGTGTCTAGGTTTAGGGCTTCAGGGTTCTAGGGACTTAGGATTCCGGGTTTATGGTCTTCGGGTTCAAGGGGGACTGGGGGGGGGGATCTAAGGGTTTATGTGGGTGTCCATGTCTTAGGGTTATAGGGACTTACAGTTTCAGGGTGGCGCTTGCGGTGGGTCTGGGTCTGGGTCTGGGTCTGGGTCTGGATGTATTCTTGCAGGATGCAGAATGCCTCAGTTACCTAGGCTACTTGGCTCGCCCGGCCGTACAAACCGGGCAAGTCGCCCGTGCAGGCAAAAAATCAGTCCTTGTTTTCTTTGTTTTCTTTCTGTTTTTTTGGGTGAGGGTTCTCCGCGCATGCGCTGAGGAGCCCAAATCCGGGCTCCTTTCTATTTTCGAGTGGGTATAAATTGGTTTTTAAGGGGCTAAAGGGGTTTAAAGGGGCGTGCCACGTGCCTTACTCTAATTTTATTGGTTTCTTTTTTATCTTCGATTCCGTAAGGAATTCTGATGTGACCCTCAGGCAAATGTTGTTTGTATTGCAATTCTACACAACATAGTTCTTTTCTGGATTTTTATCATTTTTTTTTTCTTTTTTTTTTTGGGGGCGCTGGGCCTGCCTGGAACCCTGCCCAGGGTTCACGCCCGGCCAGGCACCCGGGCAGGAGTCCGCGCACAAGTTGGGTGCCCAGGCGCCCCAGCACACAGCCTAGTCAGTTACTGATGGAGACGAAAGGCCACGAATGTGGTCTCCTTTGTGTGGGCCGAGCATGAGTGCGAAGAACATGCACTCTGGTCTACAGAAGCACACCTGCACCCTCCTGCATGACGAAGCTACTCAGCATAGTTGTAGACTTATAAAATTAAAAAACAAAACTAAAAAAAAAAATTAAAAAATGAAAAGGAGAAAGTTCAATTCAAAGTTGAGTCAAGGCATATGTGCATGCCACTGCATGGACCGACATTTTTTTTTTTTTTTTTTTTGCGGGGGAGGGTGGAGGGGGGAAGGGGAACGGACTGACAAATGTGCGCCATGTGTTGGCGTGTTTGCTGCTTGCGTTTCGGCAATTTCGGCGATATTCCACAGGAAGCCTCGAACAAGCTGCAGGCGTTCTTAGCATTGATGCCTGCTGAAGCTGTTTCTGCTGCAAGGGATTACCTTCAGAGAGACTTGAGCAGTGCTTAGACCTGCTCACCTTGTTTGCAATCCCTGTTTGAAATCCCTGTTCGCAGGGTGCGGAACGGGGAAAAGGGAAAATATATTAAACCACCAGTACTTGGCGGAGCTATCGGCCGCAGAAAAAAATAGAGTAGAAACGTTTCTAGTCGGATGAATTTGGGTGCTCCTGTAGTGCACCGTACGTTTCCTAAACTTGTGGCTTGTTAACAGGCACAACTTCAGGAAGTAGGGGGGGGTTAAGGAAGAGTAGATAGAAAGAAGAAATGAGTTTTGAGTTTCAAAGCTTTCAGCCAACTCTACCTGTTACAAAATTGAATTGGAAGAGATGACACATCCTTGGGGCAAAATCATGGGGCATTCTCGCACTATTTCGCGTTTTGTAGTCTTTTATCCCGTTTATGATTTATCTATCTTATTGAGTCTTGTTGTTTTCAGCTTTTGTTTATCAGATTTAAAATTATTAAAAAAAAAAACCTGATCAGAACAGATTGTTTTGGACCATTTCTCGATTTATGTGTGTCATCCTTGCGCAGGGGCCATGCTAATCTTCTCTGTATCGTTCCAATTTAAACGGATGTCCCGAAGGACAGAACAGATTGTTTTCAGCTTTAGATTAGACAGATTAAAATAAAAAAATAAAAAAAAGATCAGGAATTTTGCCACTTGCCTACAGTCTTCCCCCAGTGGAACAGACGGTCATTTATTGAAAGAAAAAAATGAAAAAAAAAAAACGAAAAACACACACAAAAAAAAAGAGAGAAGAGCAGCTATGGCGTCTCAACTGTTCTGTATATGATTCTATTTCTTTGGTTGTAATTCAATGGTATGCATTCCCCCATTGGGCAGGTGGTGCTGTTGATATACAGACCCGGGCTCGAATAGTGGATCTGAAATGTGGAGAGGCGGTTAACGGAGGTCTCGATTTTCAGACAACTTGTCATGTGCCATTAATAACACGAGTGGAGCACAGCACCACTCGCCGATGTCGTCCCATTTTTGTTTCATGTCTCTCTCTCTCTCTCTCTCTCTCTCTCTCTCTCTCTCTCTCTCTCTCTCTCTCTCTCTCTC